AGGTGTAGGCGCCTTGACCCTGAATGTTTGCTTAGGGCATTAAGGTTTCCAGGTAAGTCCCCATTCTCTCCCTCTTACTATTCTTTATTCTATACCTCATCATAGTTGTATAGCAGCGAAGCATCAGCTTAAATGTCTGGTGTACTGCTGCTGCTGTTGATGACAATGATGATAGTGCCGAAACCTACTCGGAGGGGCGGTTGTCGTCGTCGACCAAATTGTTTGACAGGGAAACCTGGCCCTGCAGACCGGGACTATGGCAGTTGTTTAAAAGTAGATCGATTTTGCATTATTTTGCTGTTCTATTTCTTAATTTCAACCTGAAATTCAAGATTTATCCGAACTCTGACAGCTGATAAGTTTGGTTGGCCTCGCTGCCACAGCACTGAAGGAACACCATATTGTGTAACTCATCCCACCACGTTAGTATTCAGGATAATTCGGAAAAATATCTATTTACTAGCACATGTCTGCGATTTTGAGCCAGCTTGGTTGTTTGTAAACAATATATTCATGTAGTGCAGTCACTTCCAATGCTACACTCCACAATCAAAGCTGAGGTTGGAACTCGGGACTTAGTGGTTGAAGGCAAACACGTTAAAACTTTATACTCTGAGTTCCGCGAGCAATGCTCCGTACAACGGTCAAGAAGTCAATGCCAAGTCTTACAGTAATCGGGAGTACATGCGATCTCTGTATGCATTTCGGGTCTACTTCGAAATAACTCAGCTTTCCCATCTACGGTACAACTCGCAATCCATTTACGCGGTCTGTGTTCACGAATCAATACTCAACTTCATATCTGGCACTCTTCTTTTCCCTGGTAAAGATTGCAAACTTCGGGTTGATACCCATCAGCTGGCTTAGGCGTGTGTTTTAAGCGTCTTAATTGAGGTTGTTCCGCACCCGTTTGCGGTTGGTGGTTTGGTGAGACAGATTCTCCCTCCGTTATTGCGTCAATAGCCGTCGCTTTTTGATCCCGCTCCTGTGGTTCGTTTGAGCGTGGCCGGATATGGTCAGAATGGCGACGCATCACACGGCCGTCCTGCAGCTGTAACTTCGCTTGTTTACTCGTCGAGGACATGAGTGTAGCAGGTTGCCAGCTAGCTTCGTGTGGCAGTATTTTGTATACTGGATCAAAATCACTGAGACGCATTTCCTTTGGCATCTTGTCATCCCCACACATTTTCTCCTACTTTGCCTCCATTCTCCTTTGAGGGTTCAAAAAACTAGATGGCCGGCCAAGCTGTAACTCCGCGGGTGACTTCCCTGTCCACTCAGTCGGTGTCGTGCGGTAAGAGAACAGGCGACGATCCAACTTAGCTTATGGAGTTCCATGAGTCTGCTTGAGGAGACCTTGCACATTCTGCCATTCAGTTCGACGCGGGATGCTACGGCGCTGAGTTAGTGTGTTGTATTCCGTCGTTACTCAGGAACTGTTGAAACTCCACCGGCAAATGAGGTTCCGTTGTCGGTGCCCACCATTTCTGGGATACCGAAAATGGCAAATATGGAGCGCACTTTTGCAACTGTTGCTGCGGACTTCGCATGTGGAGCTGAATTTACTTCTATCCACTTATAATGGACATCAATCAAAAATAAGCACATCGTCTCGTTGATCGGGCCAAAGTAGTCTGCGTGTACCCGCTGTCAGGGCCTCTCCGAGCAATGCCATGGATGTATCGGTCCGGGAGATCTTTTTCTTTGATATTTCTGACATTTCTCGCAATTTTTCAGCAGCCGGTCTATCTGCTGGTCAATGTTCGGCCACCAACAGTAATCACGTGCCAGCGCCTTCATCCTGTTTACGCCCGGGTGTGCGCCATGCAGCTTTGTCAACGACTGGGGCTGTAGTTCGTCTAGTGGAACTATGCACGAGCCCCGAAATATACAGCCGTCAACGTTATCCTCCGACAGGCGAATTGTTTCAGTTTGTCTGAAGTGTTTGTGGGCCATGCGGCCATTTCACCATCGAAAACTCAGTGTCCCGGTCCGTCACGTGCTGTACCACGTCACTTCGCGTGGGTGTCTTCAAGGTGTTGCATCAGCTTGATAAACTCCATTCGTTCACTGTTCGTTTTTTGTGCAATGCTGCTGCAGGAGGCGACTAGGTTCATCGGCAATTGTATTACTTGGTCCGTTTGTATACTGAAGTTTGCAGTTACAGGCGCTTAAAACTAATGCCCACCTTTGTATTTGAAGCGAAGACATCTATTGTATTCCTTTATCCTCAACCAGAAGTGAAAGAAGTGCTTTACTGTCCATGTCGATCTCGAACTGTCTTCACCAGACGTACTTGGTGGAAATGTTTGACTCCGAAAATAGTCGCTAAAGGCATCTCTGTCTAGTTGGGAGTAATTCCTTTCAGCGGCTTGCGGGGTGCGAGCAGCAACAGCGACTGCACGAAGAGAACCGTCATCAGTCCGATGGCAAAGGACTGCTCCTACTCTGCGTGGGGATGAATCACACTGCAGCAATAGAGGTCGGCTCGGATCGAAATGCACCCGATACGGGGTGGTGCTGAGCACTCTTTTTGCATCTGTGAAGGCCTTTCTTTGATCCAGGTCCCAAGTCCAGGACCTCTCCTTGTGAAACAGTTTGTACAAGCGTGTAAATACTGTTGTGGCGTTAGATAAGAAGCGACGATAGTGAGAAAACATCCCCAAAATGCTCGGAGTTTAACTTCTTTCTTGGGTTCCGATGCGACAGGAATGGGCTTGACTTTGTCTTCTAACACATGTAATCCGTTTTCATCGGGGCGGTAACTCAGGTAACGAACGAAATCTGAGTAAAACCTACTCTTGGACTTCTTCCGTTTGAGTCCACTCTGTTGTAGACGTTCGAGCACAGTGATTGGTGTTTGCAAATGCTCAGCATCTGTACGTCCTGTAATTAGAATGTCCTCAAGGTAGATGCAAGTATAAGGAATATCTTTGATCAGCTTGTCAATGCTCTTTTGGAATATCGCCGGGGCTAAACTGATCCCGATGGGCAGACGTTTGTACTGGAATAGACCCATGTTGGTACTTATCGTAGTGTTTGAGCGAGAGGTCTCATCTAATTCAGTTTGTAAGTACGCTTGACTTAGGTCGATCTGTGTGAACTTTTGTCCGCCTGCCAGCGTAGCACACGGATACTCTATCCAAGGTAAGCGATACTTATTCAGAATTAAACAACGATTAACAGTTAGTTTATTATCACCAAAAATATCTACAGAATTTTCAGATTTCAGGACTGGAACTCACTATATTTTACTGGATCGATTGTTCCTGCTGATTGCAATCTCTTTGTCTCGTCTTCCACCTTTGATCTCAGGGAATAAGGTAGGTTGCGATCCCTGAAAAAAACGGAGCTGTGTTCCCGACCGTAAGTTGATATTAGCCTGATATCCGTTCACTTTTCCCAGTTTATCATCAAAGACGTCAGGTTATTTGTTGACCACCTCCGCGCTGGTTAATGGACACGAATTTCACTGTCTCTAGCGTAGCCGGAAGGCATTTAAACCAGTTGCACCCGAGTAAGTTTGGACCATCATTCGCCACAACATATGCCTGTAAGATCCGCTTCTCCCTATGATAAGTAACATGAACAGTGCATTTTTCCAGGACTGGTATCGGTTGCCCAGTGCACGTCCGCAAATTTGATTCACGGGGATAACTTGGGTAATCTTTTAACTGATGCAGCACTGATTATGGTAACTGAGGCACCAATATCAACTTCCATCTTAAGCAACTGGATTTCTACTTTCAGTTGTACAGTGTAGGGTGGGTGATTACTGCAGACGCTCGACCTTGCGTCCCAAATCATATCTAGCTGATCATCTTCGTCTGAAGACTGGACGACCTTCACGGGATTCTTGGAAAACGTGTTGTCGCAGTTATACCAGCTTTAGATCGGCAAACTCGGGCCAAGTGTTCTAATTTTCCACATTGGCAGCAGATACTCTGTTTATGACGACATTCCTCGGCTGATAAATGCTGACTTCCACCTTGGTAACAGGTAAAAGGCAATTCGGACCGTCTCGGGGTAACACCTTTTCGGTCGATTGCTTGTATTGTGTTTGTATGAGGTGGCGAGGAAAAGTTGATAACTGTTTATGGACATTCTCCAGCTGCCGAACAATATTGCAGACCTACTCCCAGCTCATCGTCGTGTCATCTTCCGACAACAACCTTTCACGAGCCTGTTCTTTTTGCATACCGGATATCAAGCACTGTGAAGCCGTCGCCTCTTCTGACTTTCTTAACTGGAATTTCACAATACTGGCACTCCTGTAGGGCTTTCTGAATCCGCGCAATGAAATCAATAACACTTTCTTCAGGGTTTTGACGCAAGGTCAAGAAAGAGCACCACTCAGTGTATATGTTCAGTCGTGAACTTTATAACCCTTTGAAGACTTCTAGCGCGCTGCTGACTGTCGTCCTCTCACCGAAATGGAGGGCATCAAAATGTCTTTGGTGTTCATCCACCAGAAATTGTCCCAGTAGTTACTTTGTGGCTCTCTGAGAGTACCCCAAATAATCCCCAAAAAAATCGTGCGCTTCCAGCGGTTCCGGCTAACTGGTGTTGGTTTATCAGAAGGAATATTCCAAAGTAGTGTAGGAAGGTGCAACATCGCGGTAGTTTAACCTCGGTCCCGGGAATAAGTATGGCCCTTAGCCGATAGACGGAACAGAACGCGCAGGCGTAGTATGGAACCGTTTCAGAGAAAGGTTGCTACGTTACAGTGATTCGAAATGCCGAAACGAAGAACCAATGAAATAAGGAGTGCAAGGAAGGTCATTATCAACTAATCATGTGAGCGCTCGTGTTCACGAATCAATACTCAACTGCATACGGGACATTATCCATCCATTGGTTTCCATATTGGCTCTCGTTTCGTCCACGTTACTTGGGGGTTAAAATTGGACCCATTCCTGTAATATGGATCCAGCTGGCGGTAATTATCGTTAGCTACAACTCTGTATCCCAATCTACCTTTATTGCCCTTTGCGTTTCAGAGTCCGTGAGAGAGCTGCGCAGAGGTCGTCGACCAACGAGCATGCGACCGTTTGGAATCGCTTCACGAGTCTTATCACGGACTTTTTGCTCGGAGATGAGGACAATGAACGCTGCCTCCTTAGGAAGTGCGAAAACTATCTCAAAGAAGCCATCTGCATGCTTGCTGACTTTTTTGCTATCCCTCAGGTAACTGAATTATTCGCTTGTACGGTCGAAGATGCGTTTTATGGTTTGTGCTCCGCTTCCAATAAAGCAATGGTTTATAACGGGGATAAAAAGCAAAAGTTTGACAATCCTGTACCTTGTTGGCGTGAAAAGTACAAGGTAAAAACAGTGTATGTTACAAAAGAACGCCCGAGCTACATGACTGATCAGGAAGTTTAGATTAATACAGGTGTGGGTATTCCTGCCTGGAGTTTAAGAGGATTATGACACCGTCCACTGTTTGTTCGGCTCCAATGCCATTATCTGATGATCATGGGCTATACCACCTTGTGTAAATGTTTCAGTGTGTCGCCAAGGCGTTTTTGAATAGGGATAAGGTGGGTTTTTTTATTACATTCGCCGGAAGAGCGTTCCGGGGCTTTGATACTCGGAGGGAGGAAACGTTTCTTAGGCAGTCCAGTCGGCTGTACTGCGTGGCCAACTTAAACTGATGACTCCCCAGAGATGTGTTTTGGCGGAGTTTCGAAGGATAGTGACATGTGTGATTCGAGTCTTTTAGCATTTATATTGCATTATTAGATCGCCCCGTAGACGCAGATAACGTCCGCTGCAAATTTTTATAGTTTTCAGGCTGAGTGGGTTGGAAAGCTGGGACAATCCTGCCTTTCTTCGTCGCCCTGCGCTGTGCAGTATCGAACGCAGTAAGGTGGTGCTTCTCCCAGAGTTGCCACGCTTGGAAAGCGTATTCTGCATGCGGCTTCACGTACTCGCCAAGTATACTCGGAAAGACTGAGGCGCCGGAAACCCCCAACCCTCTAAGGAAGAGGCCAAAGTACTATCTTGCTTTCTTTGATGACTTTTCGATCTGCATCCAACAACCAAAGTCACCTAGCACGAGTACGCCAAGATCGCACTAATGAGAATCCCTCTGTAGAATTTGCGATCCTTGCCGGTTGTTGTGAGTAGCCTGATGACATATGCTCGGAATTTTGTACTTGATGACGTTGAAATGCAGCATGTTCACGATGGTCCATGTGTACTCTTTGTCCATGTTATCCTTTAGGGCTGTGTAGTCCTCCACTGTAGTGATAGCACGCCATATCTTTAAATAATCGACGAAAAGTAGAAAATTTGAAGATAGCACGCTCGCGACATCATTTATAAAGACCAGGAACAGGCGAGGCCCCAGTACCGAGCCGTGAGATACGCCACACTACTTCGATTAGTTTGGATAAGGTACTGCGTACCCTTACATTCACGTGACGCTGAACGAAAAAAAATCGTCTACCCAGCCCAGAATAGGGTCACCGATTGAATAATTCCGAAACTTGTGTAGTAGAATGCGCTGGTCCAGATGGTCGGATGCCTTCGAGAAATCCAGATAGGTGGCATATACTCCCTCATCCACAGATTCCGTCCAACATGCACGAACGATCTACAAGTTAGTAATACAGGACTAATTTTGGCGAAGTCCGTGCTGTTCCGGAGTGAGAATTTTGTTACTCTCCAGGTACCCATGAACCATCGCCATGAGACTGTGTCTTACCGTGGTGCGATGGTTTGTGTGCTTCAGCGATCCATTGAGCTATTCTGGGTGGTGTTTTCTTTGCACCTCCAAAGCCACTCATACCAGATTGGTCAATGGTTAAAGGCCAGACAAACTCAGCGTCCTGGTCTTCCAGGTTGGGAGTTGGAATGAGGGTGGCACCTTATTCCTTAAAACGGACTCCTTGTAGCCCAACACCAAACCCCCTGCCTTGCGGCAAGGTTTTTGTACGTAAGGCTTTAGTTGAGAACCCTAATGGTTCTCCTGTCTAGGCCTGGACAACCTGACAGTATCCTGCCCACGCAATACTATGAATCATTCGTCAAACGATTTCTTGATGCTCTGGCCGCCGCAGTGGATAATCAACGGTGCCCTATCTGCTGCACTGAGCAGGGTGGATAGGGGTTTGGATGCTACCGCTCAAGCCTTCCCGTCTTCTTAGTCAACCCTCTCACGCTTTTTCACTCCTACCGTCCCTTTCCAACTTGACTTATATCCCCCAGTTTTCAACCCCCCGATTCTTGCCCCTCCAACACGCTTTGCTAGTCATTTATCTTCTAATTTCAACTCGCATGCTAACGCGGAGCGTCACTCCTCTCCTGTCGACAAACCCATGTCCAATCAAGTGGTCCATTCCAGTTCATCGGCTTCCATTTGGAACCCTCCATCCTCTTTCAGATTGGCATGCCTCAATGTACGCATGTTGCTTCGATCAACAGGCAGCACTTGCCGATCATTGGAGACCCTATAGATCGATATCTGCTGCTTATCAGAGACTCGCCTACACCACTCGAGCTCTGTACTCACTCTGCGACCCCCTTCAGGTGACACCAGCAGCACTTTCTCATTACGCCTATCCGGTGACGATTCAGCTTCGAGCACCGGGCAAGCCGGTGTTGGTATTGCTCTGAGTCCCCGGGCTGAAGCTACTCTGGTTGATTGGATTCCAATCAGTAGCCGGATGTGTGCGGTCAGATTGGCTGGCTCGTTCAAAGCTTCAAAGTCGCGTGGGACTAACAGGTGTCTATTCCTCATCACTGTCTATGCACCCACAAACTGTAGCGATGATTCGGTAAAAGACGACTTCTATCGTCAACTGAACGAGCTCCTTCGCCACAGAAGAAGCTCGGACAATGTTGTGCTGGCTAGGGATCTGAACGCTCAAGTTGCAAAATTATCCACTGATGGACTGCATCTGGGCAGCCAACATGATGTAGGCTCCAGTAATGATAACGGTGAGCGGTTACTTCATTTGTGTGAGGATGCTCGCTTATTTCTTGCGATGACTAATTCCCGACACATCACACGCCGGAGGGTGACTTGGCGCCCACCAGCTTCAAACCAGCTATGGACGCAAATCGATCACATTGCGATAAGTTACCGATGGGGAAGCTGTGTCCAGAGCTGTCGTTTGATTTGGAGAACATGTGTAGACACCGACCATGCACTTGTATGTGCTGACCTGCGGATGCGCTTTGCCGGACGCCCACGACAACGTGGTGACCGTATTGACACCAGCCAACTGGCGAAGCCAGCTGTTCTGAATGCCTATCAAAGTACGCTATCACGCGAGTTGAGTAATCGCTCACTGGATGCAATTGAAACTCACTGGTCTCATATTAACCAGACTTTAGTAGCAGCAGGAAAATCCTCATGTTGTAAGTCTAATCGCCAACATGGACATTGGGTCTCCTCGCAGTTTCTGGAACTTATGGGTGGCCGCAGGCAGAATCCGGTTGGAAGCGAACACAATGAAACTCGCGAAGAGCTCCGAGCAAAACTCCGTGCTAGCCTGAAGAGAGACCGCGAATCCTGGTGGTCTCATCGTAGGAGAGAGATGGAAATGGCCGCTGCCCTTGGTAACCATCGTAAATTATTCCGACTGATACGGGATACGGACAGCAGGAGACCTGATGTTAGTGAAACTATGCGTGACGAGAGTGGACAGTCTATCCACAACTTATCAAAACGCTTGGAGCGTTGGGCTGAGCACTTTGAAAGGCAATTTAATCGGTCGGAATTGTTAGATTTCTCGCCGGCCAGTGATCGCCCTGCTCCGTGGGCTGTCCCTTTGGATCCACCCTGTCGCTCAGAAGTCGATCGTGAGATCGGACTGTTTAAGTTAAATGAAGCCGCGGGACCAGATGATCTACATCCAGCCCTCTTCAAATTCGGGGGACCTGCTCTTGTGGATGATTTATACGAGTTATTAGTGAAACTGTGGGAGCAGGAAACTGTCCCAACCGATTGGAGCCGTTCCGTCATAGTCCCAATTTTCAAGGGAGGCTCACGATCGGAATGCGGCAACCATAGAGGAATCAGTCTGATCTCCATCGCCTCCAAATTGTTTGCCTCTGTCATTCTTCACAGATTGACTGGCACTCGTGCAAGCCAGATTCGTGAGGAGCAAGCCGGGTTTCGTCGATGTCGTGGCTTCATTGACCACATCATCACGTTGTGTCAGTTGTTGGAGCACCGTCACACATATTAGCGGCTCACCGTAGTCGTGTTCCTCGATATCAAAGGTGCATTCGATTCGGTGGATAGGTGTGCACTTTGGGACTGTCTACTCAGGAAAAGTGTACCTGAGAAATATGTGAATATTATCCGAGCATTATATGCGCGTAGCTGGTGCAGAGTGAGGGCTTGCGACAAGTTGTCGTCGCCCTTTTATATCTCCAGCGGTGTAAGACAAGGATGCCCGCTGTCACCTTTCCTCTTCAAGTTCGCTGTTGATGAAGTCATGGAAATCCCGTTTACAGGACACGACTTAGAAGGTGTGGATCTGCTTTCAGGAAAATGACTTCTTGACTTAGAGTATGCTGATGATATTGCGCTTATCTGTGACAGCTCACGAACGTGTCAAACTGCACTGGACAGATTAGCACTAGCTGTCCGTCACTTCGGGCTTTGCTTTGCATCCTCGAAGTGCAAAGCCTTCCTCCAAGATTGTCCTGGACCGCCTCCTACGCTGACCCTTGGTGTTGAACAGCTAGAAGTCGTTCAAAAACTCAATTGCCTGGGAAGTTGTATCAGTGCCTGTGGGATTGAAGATGAGATAAGGAACCGGATAGCAAAAGCTCGGGGCGCTTTTGCTAACCTTCGCCACCTGTGGCGACGACGCGACATCACTCTTGCCCTTAAGCATAGAGTGTACAATGCAGCGGTACGTTCGACCCTACTGTACGGTTGTGAAACCTGGCCCCTTAGATCAACGGACCTGAAGAGGCCAGTTACGTCCGACCACCGGTACCTTCGCAATTTAGCTCACATATGGTGGGAACACCGCGTGAGCAACGAGCGTGTTCGCCGCCTTGTTTACGGCACAGCAAAAGGAAATGAACCGCTCAGCACCGTTATTTCACGCACCAGGCTCCGATGGCCTGGCCACGTGTTACACATGCCAGCCCACCGACTCCCGCGACCTGCGTTGTTTGCGCGCCGGGGGTGTGGATGGAAGAAGAGGAGGGGTGGC